CGCGGTGTCCGGCCGGACGCTCGCCGCCATCTCCCGCCGGTGCAGATGGCTCTGCCCTCTGGGCTGTCCGCGCCGTGCACCAGCCTGGGCGCCTCCGAGCCTCTGTTTCTGTACGCCCGCGTCTCTGGGTCTTTCCGCGTCGCAGTGGGTCTGACCCTAGGGGGTCACCAGAGTGCTGACTTCAGGGCGCTTCCAGCTGTGGGACCAGACAGGAATCCGCTGGTGACGGACGCAGAGTGACGGCGAGCACAGAGGATGCCTAAGCAGGTCTTCGCGTCAAAGAAGTAATTCCGGGCCACCAAAGGCACCACAGTGCAGCAAAACCCGCCCGCCCCTGCCGGTGACCCCCCTTTCATGCGCTGCCCACACAGAGCGGCCTTTCCCTGGGGACGGGGCTCCTGAAAGTCTGTGTGCGCCCCTCCGCCGGCCCCTTCTGCTGGGGGACAGGGCGGGAGTCAGACTGGCAAGTCACACCCCGGCGGCAGATGCAGGGCCTGAGTGAAAGGACTTGCCAGCCGAGTGGACAGCGGCCCTCCCTCGCCTACGAGGCCATCGCCGTGCGGCCTTGACCCCGGGCGCGGGGTCCCGCATGCTGTGGCTGCTGGGCTGGCAGAGTACCTCAGCTCCCGTCCCTGGTGGCGTGCCGGCCTCGGGCTCCGCGGTCCATCCAGCAGGTGTCCATCCAGTCCCCCGTGGGGGCCCAACACCCTCGCAAGGGGCTCTGCTGTCCTCGGCACCTTCCAGCGGCTCCTGCCCTGTCCCGTGTGGCCTAATTGCAGAGGACGGCTGCTCTGTGGCCCGCCTGTCCACGCCGGCGCCCCACTAATATGTGCCGCTCACTGGGCAGCGCCCAGCCCGCGGCTCCCGCTGCCTCCTTACTCCCAGGATGCCTGGTGCCAGCCTCGCCCTGGCATCTGGCTCTCTAAACTTGCCAGGGAGGTGGGCACTGCGGCGAGTAGCCACGACGCCCAGCCCGAGCTCCCAGGTGGGCAGGGCCTGCACCAGCGGCCGGAGAAAGGCCACAGAGCCTGGAGACGTGCCGGAGCCGCCCCCCGCCCCCCAAAAGCCCACTTGCAGATAGATGAGGAAAACGGCTCGCTGCTGGGGCACCAAGATCTGGGGCTCTGGCAGGGGCAGGCCCCTCCTGCCGCTCTGGGTCGCCCGTTTGGGAAGCAGGGTGGACTCTGGGC